CAGTTGGGCGCCTTTTGCCAATGACTGCCCAGCTGACCGCACCGCAATCGGAAAGGCGAGTGACAAAAGAGAATTCGAGTAATCCAATGAAAAAGAACTTAAATGGGAGTCCAGAAAGGGATTATATATATATATGCAGTGCAGTTACATTGGATATTACACGTATTTCGACCAGAGTGATTGAATCCATAAGTATCCAGCTTGACAAGACAATGAGGCCACGTGTTTAATAAAATTAACGTATATGGGGTGCGTGACAATTTTATTTTGAAATAAATATTGAGACAAACAGTTTAGTGTAGGATCTTATGATGACCACTGTATTCTAGAATGTTTACGCATCTTTCTGTCCGGTCAGACTAGTCATTTAAATACCTTGGAATCATGCGATGTCCTCAAACGACGAACGGTGGTTTAAATTACTGGTATAATATCGCTGCACTATGGCTAAGAATGCGCACACTGACCAAGAAGGAGAAAAATCTCCACGTCCTAATCTAGAGTGTCCCAAAGGGTTACTTTACTCAGTTTCACTCAAAAGGCTCGTTCCTAAAGTTGCGTCAACTGCGTAGCGCTGCGTTGCGTCGTGCATCGCAGGGCCTCCTGATTAACTCGTCGTAAGGGTCGCCATAGCAACAGCTGGACGCAAGCAGCCTTGAATGGGTCATGAAACGATATCGGGTTAGAATGTTCATGAGTTTGCAGAGGCGTAGTGGTCCTAGTCTGGCCCAAGTATACTCGCACACACCGCCACTGATTCGGAAGCTTCTTTGTCGCGGTGAAATTTCGAGTATGAGAAGGGACTGTTTCTTTCAGTCTTGCCTTCGCAAAGCTTGATGACGTAATTGTGGGCCCGAAACCGTTCGCCTGACGACAGTCGAGCGCGGCTCATGGAGTGGACACAAGAACTGCGTGAGCACTCGACTTCGGCTCGTAACAATCAATGCCTCGGCGGACACTCGGGTAGTGGCTCGTGTCCAACCACTGCGGTGATGAGAATAGCCGAACTCTAACAATGTCTGGAGTTCAGCACGCATTTTTTACTCTGCCGATCCCCGGCACGTGGCTATGATTAACGTTGGCGGCATAGGATAGGCACAAGGCCACCTGGTCGCTTGTTCTGTCTCCGAGTTAAGAAGATGAACGAAGCTCCTATTTCTCGAATTTGTTTGGCGACTGCCGTTGCCTATAGAGAGAAAACCTAAGGCAACTCCAACTGTTGACTACTATAGTTTACCAACGCGCTTGTTAAGAATATAAACCAAAGCAAGTTTATTCAGTTATTAACGTTGGGGAGTGATTGTAAGTAGTATGTGGTGAAAGTAGAAAAATCGTTTCATGATCCCTTTAAAGCAATCAAACGCAGTCAAACGTAACTGTGTGAACGAGCCTTATACTCTGTTTCATACTTAGTGTGCAACGCTGTCAAAGCTACTGGCGCGAGCATGGGGCTTGATATCGTTGATCACTTGCACACGTTCTCGCGCAAACAAAACTAGATATGAAGCCACGCGCTCGCGCCAATTGCTTTGACAGCGTTGCACGCTAAGTATGAAACAGAGTATAAGTGCGAGCGAAGGAGAAAGAACAGCGAGCGCTATGCTCTGAGAAGGCCTGATATGCTCGCGCGCTCGTGAAGTGAAAGCGCTGACGCTGTATTTCCATGGGCTACGTTTACATGAATGTGATCGCATCGAATCGAGCAGGGACCAATCACACGCAACCTGTCTCCCTACTTCTTCCTCTTCTACCCTTGTACAACCAATCAAAATAGTCACATCTGGATTCGATGGGCTACTGTCGAAACAATGCAAATCGCAGCCTTAAGCGTTTGCAGGTACATTCCCCCGCTAAGATCGGAAGCATAAATATAGGCTTCTACTTGACAAACTCCCTGCGATTTAGACGCGCCCCGAGTTCCAGCAGACAGCATTTTCGCGTGAGAACGCAATCTTCGCGCCGTCGTTCACTGGACGCCTGTCATAGCTCATAATGAGTGGAAAAGACCCGTGGTTCGTGGAACACGAGACGCGGGGGTCGTCATTCGTGTAACCGCCACACAACAACAGAAAACGAATACAGTTGCTCATATCCCCCTCAAGTAAACGTTTTATCCTCCCCGGTCATATACACAAGCACAGCAAAGCACGCACAAATGAAAACTGAACAACAAAGAAGGATCTAATCGCAGAGCAACAGACCATGCCAGGCGCGGCCTCGCAGCCGAGAGGGCCATAGAGCGGACATGCCAGGGCGCCCAGCGGCCGACCAATCGATTGCAACTCGACGAGTCCCCTCGACGACTCATCCTAAACGCTCGGTCCTCTCCCCAGGGGGAAAGACGAGGCTGCCTGACCCATGGCCGCAGAGCTCCAGCTCGAGACGAGCCCCCTGGGTTCTTCGGCGTCCCGAGGGTCTTCGACGGACCCCGGGTCGCCGATATCCAGGGACCTGGTCTCGTCGGCCCCGTTTCCCGACGGTTCGCGAGTCCTGCAACTCTCGGAAAAAGCGCGTGAGTACGGGGCAGGAGCGCTGCTTCGTCGGGCTGCCGCACGTCCCCCGTATGCACGGCATTCTAGACGAAGGATTGTTTTCCGGTGCCTTCGGCATGCGCGCAGTAAAGAGGAAAAAAAAAAAAAAAGAGAAATGCATGCCGCAGAAGCAGAAGCGGGTTCGTGGTTATTCCACATTTTAGGGAAGGCAGCGTGCGACTCAAGTGATGCGAGCGAGCTGCGTCATTAGTTCAACCAAGCAGAGATACAAAAAGGGTCTGAATCCAAACACGCGACCAAGTACGATGTTTGCCCGCCGTTGGCACTGAACTAGCTTTCACAACCGGAGCAATCTGCCGCAGCGTCCGCCGGCTTGCCAACATGTTCTTTTGTGGCCAGTTGCTGAAACCACACGCGAAACAAAGTAGCTACAAGGTCTGTTTGTCTACCTGCGAGAAGTGCTTGCTCTTTGTTTTTCGAGTGAGACGAGACCAATACAGAGCGCAAGTACGTCTGCTTCCTGCATAGGGTTGCGAACGCCAGGCTCTTATCGGCCGATTGTAAAAAAAAAAAAAAAAAAATAGTGGGTCTACCCTCTATCCTTTCAGTCAAAGCCAATCAGAGCTCGGAGTCGTTATGACGTCACCGCAACTCCTGTATAAGCAGACGACTTGCTCTCCACATAGAAAGAATGCTGAACAGTTGCTGAACAGCGAAGTAGTCCTCATAAGATGCGATTGTCGGCGGAAAAAAAAAACGATGCTGTTGGCGTGTGAAACGTGTACGTCTTGATAAAATAACGCAGCTAATCTCAAATGCACCAACATATATCTTAATTAACCCCATAAAGGAGGAAATTAGTGATGCTCCACGAGGCGACGGACTTTCTTTACTACGGTTTTTGAGCTGAATACGAGTATAGATAAGACATCTTTCTGTTCTTTGCTTTAGGCAAGAAATTCTCCGTTCTTTTTCTTTCTTTTTTTTTTTTTCTTGCTTACCCCGGTTGTACGGTCGCGGGTCTGCCGAGAGTCAAATAAGCGTGATCCACTTACGGTATGTTTGCGTGAGGTGTTTTTGCAAGAGAAAGGCAAGTCTTGTGGAAACGCACCGCAGACGTCCGAATTACACGTGCGCCACCTCATGGTTACGGAAAAAGTGAATGTTTGCATCGCTTCTGAAGTCAGGTCCTCCCGAAGTTGCTCCGGGAAACTCGCTAAACGGTTAGTGCCATAAATGGAAAACCGACCACCGCTCAACAGCCGGGCAACGAGATTTTGCACGGTTGTTACACGGCTTGACGGTTGCGGAGTGGTAGCTACCGCTATGGTGTCGATAAAAAGCACGCGCAGCCGACAACACTGCCCCTCGCACGCTGGCTCCACAAGCATCTACGTCGCCAGCGTCGCGTCCACGCAAGGCGCCCGAGCGCACGCCGGCCAATTTCGACGTGTTCCTTGGAGTGCAAGCTGGCTGCTCGCCTCCGCCTGACAGAGCCTGTGAATCGGCACATGGACGCAGCAGGACACGGTGTTCGGGAGCGGGCAGCCAGCCGCACTGGCCCCGCAGCCGCCGGGGCCGCCGCGAGCCCAAGCGCGCCCGGTGTGCGCGCTTTGCCGCCTCGCATCGGGGAGGAGCACGGAGAGCAGACGGTGGGAGCTGCGAGGCGCGAGCGGCGTTTCCGAATGGCGAGACGGAGAAGCCTCGGGCGTCGCAGGCCGCCGCGGTCCTGCACACTCGGCGAGGGTCGTTCACCCCGGGGCTCGCAGAGCCCGGCTCGCACCAGAGCGGATCGGCTCACCTGCGGTGAGGGCAGCGAGCAGCACCAGCAGCCGGATCATGGTGAAGCGCGCCTCGGCGGTTCCGCTGCAGTATGAATGGACTAGCTGCGCCGGGACCCGAGCTATCGACGCGCATGCGCCACTCCTAAGATGCCTCTGACGTCATCGCTGGGGGGATGGCGAGGGCCGGAAGAATACTTCCGGGCTCGTGGCGGTGTTCCGCCAGCGCGCGACAGCGGCGGTGGCGGCTCCGGGGGTTGAAATTGCCCGGCCGCCGCTTTTATGGCACAGGGAGCCCGCGCTGATTAATTCCCTTTTCGCACGACATTCCTCGTCCTGTGCTGCGCTGTCCACGTTTTGGTTCCTTTTCTGCTCTGGGATCTGCGCGTGCTTCGAGTCCACCGCGAAATAGACATTCGTTTGCAGAGGGCGGTCGGTTTTCGGCCATGAAAATGAGAAAAGGACTGCGCAATTCTGGGACGAGCAGTCTTATTTCCCTCTACGCATGCAGCTTCTAAATAACTTTTTTTTTTTTTTTAGAAATGAAGCTGTTTGTGAGCTAGGTGGTGTGCCGCTGCACCGTTCCACCCTAAGAGCTGAATGCGGCTTGAATGGGCCATTTCTTTCGACCGGCAGAGAAAAAGGCTTCTGCACCGCGGGAACGTTACAATATTACGAAGCTAAATCTTCAGACAAAGCAAAGCAAAAGACGACAAACGACGTAAGCTGGAGTTTTTGACAGTGTCTTTATTCACCATCGGAAAACACGCTGGTCGTACAATCATCCGAACATGACGGCGAATAACCGCGAGGCATAAAAAACAAGCTCTTCGGTGGCCTGCACTGAGCAACACTTGAAACGTTAAATCCGGTAAGCAAGGTATGTCAATTGATTGTTCGATGGTTATGTACAATAATAAGAACAGTAGGCACAACGGCAGTCACGCCGCGAGAAACAGCTACGACGAAGAAAAGAACAAAATATGAGATAATTTCCGACCACTTGTTCGGATGTGCGGATCATCAGGTTCTCAGTGTGTAACTCCAGATCAAAACAGTTTGAACACTTCAATCACCACCGGCACCCATCATCATTCCAGCTGGGTACGATCCCTGAGGCTGACCATAACCCCCTTGCGGACGTCGAGGACGCTGTCCTCCGTAAGAACCCTGACCAGACTGGGAGGGCGAGCCCTCTCCGGGGTATGAACCGTCCGAGTAAGGGCCACTATCACCCGGGTATAAGCCCGAATCAAACTGTGACGGCTGGCCCGAGGTCCCTCCAGGTTGACTGTAGTAAGCACTTCCACTGTCAGGGTTGGGGTTCGGGTATTCGGACTGATCGGACCATGAGGCGCCTCCCTTGCCGGCCCCACCGGGCGAGGAGGGAGCGACGTCGTACGAATCTGAGTCGGAAGGTGTATCGAAGGTTTGAGGTCCTCCCCCGTAACCACCCCCTCGTCCTCCCGGACGTCTCGACCCCGAACCCGGCCTTGCCGAACCGGCTGGTCCTGGACCACCTGAACCGGGTGCGGAGAGAGGTTCCGACGCCGGAGAGCCTTTTGACGGAAAAGAACCGGACCCCGTGGGTCCTTGTCCGGGTGCCCCCGGTGCAAGGTAAACACCTTTTCCTGGAGAACCTGCTCCTGCACCTCCTATGGGGTAGGCACCAGAACCTGTAGAACCGGGATAACCACCGTCATCTGAAGTGCTCGAGGAAAATGAACTGCTAGAGGAGTAGCCAGAGCGGGAATTGTATGCCGAATAACTACCAGATCCCGGACTGCCTGGAGCTCCAGCACTAGAACCACTGCCAGGATATCCGCCAGAGCCGCCTGAAGATCCCGGGTAAGATGATGGAGATGGCTTAGAAAGTGGTCGAGGAGCACCGCCACCATAACCACCACTTGGGCGAGGGCCTGACCCCGATGATCCCGGATAGCCGCTTCCGGAGCCAGGCCGAGGTCCGCCTCCGTAACCTCCCGTCGGATATGAACCCGACCCAGAAGAGCCTGGATAAGATCCCGGTCCTGAACCTGAATGTCCCCCACTTGATCCTGGCTTTGTATAAGGGCCTGAAGCTCCAGGTCCAGGATATGAACCAGAGCCGGGTTTTCCATAAGACCCAGGGGCTCCCGCGCCAGAGCCTCCTGAAGGTCTGTATCCCCCACCTCCTCCCGAAGGGTAGCTGCCAGGGCCGCTGGAACTCGCCCCACCAGGGCCGGGATAGCCGCCAGGTCCACTTGATCCTCCAGAGCCAGGGTAGCCTCCGGAGCCCCCAGAACCGGGGTAACCACCGGATCCTGGATATCCGCCTGCGCCACCAGGTCCAGCGGGGCCGCCAGGTCCTCCGGGGCCACCAGGTCCACCAGGTCCAGCGGGGCCGCCAGGACCAAAGGGTCCTTTAGGCGCAGCTGGGCCGCCAGGTCCACCGGGACCTCCAGGCCCACCGGGGCCGCCAGGTCCAGCGGGGCCACCAGGTCCATATGGTCCTTTAGGCCCAGAGGGACCACCATAACCTCCCGATCCCGGCTTTCCACCAGATCCGGGTTTCCCAGCTCCCCCAGGGCCGTAACCTCCTGAACCTGGTGCACCGGGTCCAACACCTCCTGAGCCGGGGTAGCCGCCTGCTCCAGGTTTCGGATATCCTCCACCAGCACCAGCTCCGCCGGGATAACCCCCAGAACCAGGTGCACCACCGGTGCCAGGTCGACCGCCGGAACCGGGTGCACCACCGGCGCCACAACAGCCACCAGCTCCGGGAGCTCCTCCACCTCCAGGGTAGCCTCCAGAGCCGGGGTAGCCTCCAGCACCGCCGGATCCGGGTGCTCCTCCGGAACCCGGGTAACCTCCAGCAGCACCCGACGATCCAGGGCGGTAAGCAGGGCCAGAAGGCCGCCCAGCACCGCCTGATCCAGGGCCGCCCGGACCTCCTCCAGCTCCGCCACCGGCTCCACTTCCGCCAGGAAGCGGCTGAAGAGGCTGTGGGGTCTCGTTGTTCACCTCGGCGTTCAGGTAAAACCAATTGGGCGCTTCGTCACACTCGAAGCTGTACCAATAGTCACAGGCGCGAATCTGCTGGTTGAAGATTGTTCCAACTCCACACATGAAGCTCTCCTTTCGGCCATTGTGACAGACGTGGTACACCTTTAAAAAATTAGAAGTAACGTCAGAATGTGCACATCAATTATGGCAATAGTAACGGCGAAGCAATGAGGCAGACTAATGAACGAACTCAAACTTACTTGACACTGCGTTTCCAGGTCAGCGTACATGCCTTCGTATGGTTGCTGACTGCATCGAAATCCCGTGCGGGGGATCTCTTTGTAGTCGGGGTAATCGACTCCCGCTGTGCCCCGTACCCAGCCTTGCTGTTGCTGACCGTGCCCTCCATGTCCTTCTTCCCATCGTTTTGTCTAAAGACAAAGACCATTCCATTAAAAATTTAACCGGATCGTAAAACAAAACACACAAACACACACACGCACACACCACAAAAAAAAAAACAAAAAAAAACGATGGAATTCGTACAGAATTGCTGCCCGAATATAATGATCTTACCCGTTTGGAAAGAGAATGAGGAGCCAATGCTAGAACAAAACAAGTAATTCATTCAAGATTAAAAAAGAGTGCTCTGTGTGAAATAAGTCAACGAATAAATAAATTGCCGAAACATGCCAAGAATACGTACCCAAAAGGACCAGAAGTCCCCCCCAAATTTTCATTCTTGTTTTTGTGTATTCCTGGGAAAGAAACCAAAGGGCATGAGGATATATAGTATAAAAAACTAGGGCTGGGCAATTAATAAATTTACCTACCGATTAATCGATTAATGCTTCATTCGCAGTTAAGAGGTTTAACCGCTTAATCGTTTAAATTTTGACGAACCAAAAGAAAGTAAAATTAAACGCTTTCACCGCGCAGACGTGAACGAGTACACGTGTAAGAAGGGAAAACTCTCGGTCAAATTTCATAATAAACTGTAGGGACGAGATTTGTAACTCGAGACAAGTGCAGGCTACATGTGTCCCGACCACTTCAACGCCGTTCGAGTGTCCGTTTGGTCCGGCACAGTAGACGCGCGAACCTTGTCTACTCTGCCACACACAAGCTATAGAGCCAATCATTGCTTTCTACATAGCCAAAGAAGAGAATATGGAGCGCGAAAATGCGATTCTCCGCGAAAGTTTAATCTGCGCAATAGCAGTTTCGCGTGAGGGCAATAGCATTATCTCGTAAGGGTTGGTCTAGACATTTGCGTTTGAATGTGACCGACTGTGTTAGGATCACTTGTGACTTATGACGAGATGAGCACTTTGGTAACCGAGGTTCCCGCAACGCGTCGTAATGCAACGCCAATGCCTGAACTAGCCTCAAGTCGTTGGGCTCCGTCTGCCGATTGCGATGATTGGCTATGCGCGTGCTTCATGGTAAAGTGGATCCGCAGACTTTCATAAACAGTGCGTATGTTATCGAGTATGTCAGGCAGTGTCTATGAAAACGTTAGAGCGAAACGTGGAGACGGCCCTTCACTATTGTCAGCCTTACCAGGGCTGTTTTTTTCTTTTAAACAAAACTATCAAAAATCAAGTTAAAGAACGTTCAAGCCGTACATCTTTCCAAAGCTAGTGAATGGGAACGTGGACACTGCAGCCTCCAAACTCATCTGGTGCTGCATCAGCCTAAGGTATGTCTGTGTTGAGACGTGTTCAAATGAGGCATGGTGTCTTGCGTTTTGAGGCAGCCAGTCAAGAAGTATAAAAACAACTTGTGAAAGCTTCATTTATGAGAATCGTTTTCAGAGACCTAGATCGCTAAAGTCGTTGAACACAAAGATTCTTTCCGTTACGACATAGCAGGAGGGGTGGCCGAAAGACGCCGCATAGTTTTATTTTCTCGCAAACCCATACATCTTTTTATCTTCCTGACGTTTTTCATTAAAAAGGCAAAGAAAAAAAAAGAAGAAACGTATCACTTTTTAGGCGCCGAACAAGACCAGTACGAGAGAGCGCGCGGGGACGACCGTGGTTCATACGTGTTACGTCACGACAACCATTATCAGTTGCGACCAACATGTTTGATAGTCTTTAAAAAGCACGGCGGAGGCTTGGGGTAATTGCATTCTATATTCAACACCTTCGTAGTTGACAGTGTGCTACAGTTCTTATTTCCGCCAGTAAAACAAAATTTAGTGGAAAACATTCCTGTTGTTCCTTTCCTTTCACTCGGTCTTTTGGATACGATCCAAGGATCCAAGTGTACCCGACGTGGCTAGGTCAGAATCAGCCGAGTAGCGTTCTCCGCTTTCGGGCGGATTTTGCTTCCGGGCACTTGTCCACCCATCGGTGGGATAAAATCATTTACTGTTTCTTCTTCTTTTTTTTTTTTTTTGTGTGTGTGTGTGTCGCCGTCAGTTTGGGCGTTCGAGCACGCACCATCGAATTTGTAGTTCACAACTAATAACGCTGACCTTAACGTAAAGGGTAGGAACTATAACAGGACGTCGCTGAACGTGCCGGCACACTACGAGGCCTGGTACGAGCCTCTCGCTCGGAAGTCTGTCATGGCCGCTCGTGAGTTCATGGAACGCGAGCCGTTTTAATTCCAGAACCTGTAGAACCATTATTTCGAAAATTGTGCGCTGTGTTCTTCCTCGTCGTCGCTCAGTTAGAACGCCTCTAAGCAGGGGTGTCGGAACAGGGGGACAGGACGGGAGGCGATTCACCCTCCCCCAATGGTGCCGAAAGAGGTAAGGGGTAAGGGGGGGAGGTGGGGGGGGGGGGGGGGGGAGCGATCGGCCCAAATTTATGGAAAGGTATGTCCCCCTTCTTCACTACCATCACCCCTCTCTCTCTCTCTATCTCTCTATCCGGAGCATCTGCTACGGCACTTCCTTACCCTTATTTTCTTTTGTAAGTTGTATTTTTATATTATTATCCTTCCCCCGATTCTTTTACGTTATCCTCCGTTGCACCCTCATCTCTCAAATACTACCGACGTCACTACCCACCCCGCCTCTCGGTGACCCCGGTAGCGTTGTTGACAGTGGTGGAAGGTCAGCACCACGCACGGCTCCACAATATCACAAAGTTCAATCTTCGCCTTGATTCCGATCGAAGCGAAGAATTTGGTCTCAAATAACTCGTTTCCAAAGTTGTGAAACGTCACTTTGTCGTCACCCATAGCTTCCACAGACAAACATCTTGCGACAAGAGAGTTTAGAATATTCACAGCCCGCTTAGGGACAATCTAGACAGCACTGACTCTAACGCCGCGTAGCGTAGAGATGAAGGGACACGCGGGCGCGACGTCGTCAGTACAGCCGTTCAACCGCCTGGCCCCACGATGTTGCTCGCGCACGCTCCAATGAAGCTCGCTACGACTTTGTGATTCACAATGACGCTGGAATTTGAGCGCCAAAAGAGTTTGGATGATTGACATCTCGTCCAGCGTGACACCATCATCGCGAGAGTACAATTAGCACGCTCCGCGAACGTCGGCCCCAATTTTGTGTTTGACCAGTTTAGCGACACTTGTAAGAACGTCCCTCAGAAACCATATATCAGGCGTGCTCCACGAAAGGAGGTGGTGGTTGCACCTGGCCTACGTTTCTGAACTTTCTAATCCGCGAGACCAAACTACTGCGCAATGTGCGAACAGTTTCCTTCCAGACACCTTGATCAAGGGCAGCGCCTGCGTATCGGTAGCCATACCGATTATAAGACAAATCTTTCTCGAAAGCTTTTTACTAGCCCTATAGATACTTGGTCATCATCTTGAAGCTCGTCACACGATCACTCACTGGATGATGCCTTAATGTTTCGCGCTCTGTCCAGGTGGCTCCCTTAAGACATTGAGTACTTGGGCCGGAGTCACATGTGACCAGAGGTAGTCGGATTGAATGTTAGCCGGTCAGTTCTATAAATATCCCCTGTTTCAAGATTCCATAGATCGTAATGCAAGTTTTAACAAATGTCGATAAAATCTTTGTACGACTGTCGAGTATTTTAGAAGACCTGCACAGAGTTTACAGCTGTTTGACGTCGGCTGCTTGCTTATTCGCGTGTGACACCATGCCAACTTCCGCAAAAAAGTCCCTTTGTTATAGGAGTTGTTGCCTCTGTTATAGGACTTGTTGCCTCGACCTCAGGAAGAAAAATACTTTCTAGTTCTGCCTCCGTCTTGGGCCCGCGACTATAGAAACAAACCGCGGTGAATTTGCATCGCCAAGCGTTCCATGATAATTCATCCTGTTGGCTAGAATGATGTGGCAGCTCCGAGAGCTGGCAGTTGACGGAAGTGTCACGCCTTTTCGTCACTTTCCTCAGCCAGTTTCAAGGTTTTCTTGGAGATTTCTCTCAGGTACACACAGCGCTTCCGCGTGAACAACGTTTGCCAGCGCACACAACTGGCGCCTACGCGTTGGTGGATTCCGGGAAGCGGTGCTATCGTGGTTGTACCTTTACTGAACTTTGTAAAGTGCTGGCTAAATCTTAAAACAGAGAGTGATGCTCTATCTTCAGGGAAGTGGACGGTCGAAAAAAGAGTGGAGAAAAACTGTTGAGAGACGCAGGAAACCATTCACCACACACTAATTTAAAGTGAGTTACATGAAGATAAAAACATGATGTATCTGTGGCTAGGAAGAATGTTCGATATATCCATTCCACCAGTTTCCAAAGCCTACTATCTAAATAAATCGATGCGAGTTCTTGGAATGATCAGTCACTATGTTCAATAAAAAGGGTTTCTAGATTCTATTGGCGTGCCTCCACCACGATTCTATGCTGAATTAACAAGGTCAAAGAGGTAGAAAACGAGTAGACCCATCACTTCACGTCGGTGGACTAACAGAACATACAATAAGTTTGGAGAGTGATCCTAGTATATTGATATTGGAAACAAAGACTTGTAGCGGGAGGCTCGATCATCTTCAAAAGAAGAACATCGACATACGCTAAAGTCATATTGCTCGAAGGAAACAGTTTGTTCCCAGTGGTTTGAAAGAAATAATTTTTGACGCGGTAGTCTAACAAAAAATTATGTATACTTCTTTCTTCTCAAGAAGATGCAGGGACAGAACAAGACTAAACTTCGATCAGTCCTAAATGATTTTTATAGAGGGTCTGGGTTACTTTAACACTTTCGAATACGTAGGGAAATACTATTTCAACTTGCCGTTTCATTTGTTTTTTTTGGGGCGAGTTTCCATAAACCTGCCTGGGGGTTCAACTAAGCTCACTAATAACACCGCAACCAAGGCGCACGAAAATACGTGACAGGTTATAGGAGAATACAGATTTTTCTTTTGTCACTACCCAATGTTAATTTAAAAACGAGACAAACAGGAGATATGATGGAGATATTGTAAGTGTGTGTTGGGACCTCGTTTTAGACACTTATTTCCGAAACCAAAGTCGACGAACAAAAAAGGGGAAACACACAATAGAGAAAAGGTTCTAGCCTACTGTCTAGAATAGTATATTGCAGTTTGCATCTCCTACAATAGCACATAGAAACACCGAGGCTGAGTTCCAAGCAAGTGGGGCCTCGGGCCCTCAAAGCGAAGCTCCAGGAAGCCGAAACCCCACTCGAGAACTCCGCCTCTTTAAACAGACACGTACACACACGCGCGCAGACGTGGACACACGCGGATACGGACACCACGAGGCATGCAGGCACGGATCATCGATAGAACAAGTGATGCTCACCGGATTCGCAAACG